TGGTGAGCAGGGGACTTAAAAGGAGAAATAGCTGCCTTGTAAGAATGGTTCAGTGTTTAAGAAGTTCTTTTTCTCTTCAGCTTTTGACGAAAATAGCTGTAAAGGAGCATGTGAACCTCAGAGCATATAGTCTATTTTTTGATACATCTTGTCTTACGTTTGTCAGCTTTAGATTCTCTAGTATGGCACACTTAGTCTGTGCAAGATGTAGAATAGAAGAGATTGGTTTCTTGGGCCAAAAAATCCTTTGAGTTCATTCCTGAAAGGTGATGATTGCTTCAGTGATACGATATCACCTGCTCAAAGCAAGTGGTTTGAATCAATAGCTCTTCACTGCTGATTGTATTCTGTCTGATTTACTATTAAGTTCATTCACTCAATTCTTCTGTTTGGGAGCTTACACTAAGATTTTGTATGTACCTTATGCTTCTTCCCATCAATCAGGCACGCACCTTACATTTTTGGCTTTAATATAGGGAAGATGGTTAGCTTGTTCAGATAGAGAACAAGCTAGATAGTTTAAAAGCTCAGTGAGCTTTTAAACCATTTAAACCTCCTGTGAGACTTCTTCTCTTCCCAACCTTTTCTACAAAACCCACTAACCTAGTTTCAATATGCTATCTTTGCATTGCTCCTGAAAACATTTTTCCAAAACCTGCAGGCTGTGAATAATTCCCTGGTATGCAGATTATTGACCTTATCTGCGAACATCAAAGCACTGCAGTCAGTGTGCTGATTCTGTGGCTTTCTATCCAGCACCTACAATATAAGGTTCCTTTCAGCAGCACATCAAGTGGTATCTGGGAATCTGATAAATATAATGTAGTATTTGAACTGATTCCAACCTCTGTGCCTAGCAATAATTTGGTCTTTTGTCTATGCCAACAAAAGGCAAGGGGAATCTTGCCTTTTTCATTTGGGCATTCAGTAAAGTGTTCATATAGAGCGATTTGGCTTTTCTCCTTTGAATGTGCTGCTGCTTTTCACTTACAGGTACTCTTGATGCATACATTTGAATATTGCAATGAGGAAAAACCTGGATCTTCAGTGCTAGGAAGACAAAATGCTATTTCCAATGTCATACTGTTGTACTTGGCTAGGCACAGCACACAGCACTTAAAATGGATGCTTGTACAGTAGGTAAGTTACAGTGACAATGTAAATAGTTCAGCATGCCTCACTTGCCATGGAAGGTGCATTTTGCAATGAAAAGATTACGCTGGAAGAATTTTAGTGCCAGTTATTTAACTTTTTGTGATGTCTTCCTTAGGGCACTGATTTCAACAAAGTAAATTAATGTCTTTTAAGTGGCTTCAGAGCCTCTCAAGTATAATTATCAAATTTTGATTTTTAACTGAGCTGTGATTTCAAGCAGTGACACAAAAGCAAAAAAAATTCATTGTGATAACCAGACTCTTGTATATGCTGTTCTTGTGTTGTTTCCATGGGTCATTGTTGGTTACCTTCTTAGATATGATTATTTGTGCTTTGTGTATATCTTAAAGTGTGATTGAAAATTTTATCTATTTAGACATGTACAGCTGGTTTATTGCCTGTGGAAATTCACTACTTCCATTTCTTTGGCTCCTAATCCTTGAAGAGAATGTATAGGTAGAGACAAAATCTCTGCTTATATTTCATACTCCTTTTTTTTTTTAAATACATGTTGATCCTCCAGCATACTCACCAGTTTATTAAACCACAGGTTAGTGGTTCTCAAGCCATTGAACCTTCTTGCTGAACTTGCCCCAGGGAAATTATGTGTTCTTGCTTTATTAGGGTTCCACAGACCAGCTGCTAACTGCTTATCTTTGTCTCATGGACTTACAGTTTGGGAATCTCCTCCCTGAGGCCCTAGGTGTGAAACCTGGTTTCATCTCTGGGGAAAACAGAGGAGGAGGTTGTTTTGTTTGGTTTGCTAACTTCTCAGGAACATGCCAACCTCAGTTTTCTCTTTTCTCACCACTGAGTTGTTCAGTTTACAGTAGTTACTGTTACTCATGATCCTTTTATATTACTCTATGTTAACATATGAGATCAAAGACTGAAAAAGAATATAGCGAGATCCTTTCAAAAAAGTTCCTGTGACATCTAGAATTTACACAATATCTTTAACTTGTGGGTCCAGCTACTTTTTTTTTCTTTTCCTGAAAAAATAATAGTTTTTATAAAACACAAAATAACAAAAATCTGTGCTGTTTAACTGGTACAGATTGAACTGCAGGGTATGCAAGGATCAGGTCTCACTGCCCTACATGCAATGTGTTGTTCCTGGGTTGTGTTCTAATTCATCACCCATACTCTGCTTGGGCTGTCTCCTGAGTTTGGTGCTGTTGGTTTGCTACCTCCTTGAGCTTAGTCTTGCTGATTTGAATTAGAAGACAAAGCTCAGTCAAATCTTCCATCCTCCAGTTGTCATAGTAAAATCTACTAAGAGGAATACAGGGTTTTTTTCCTATGGACTGCTGTGCTCTGGTGCTTGTGCTGAGCACTTGACTAAATCTTCAGCAAGATAAAGTAAAATACATTGCTCAAGGGGAAATAAATCTTGTTTTATAATGTCGGGGGTTTCAGACCAGTCCTGCTTTCTCTGGCTCATGAGAGGTTGCTGTACCAAGAGAATCATTTCCCTTTGTCGTGTGCTGACTCCTCTTGAACTCCTTTGTCGCTGTGGTTCTGCAGACTGCTGCAGAGTGACTCTTCTTGAATCATATTTGCATATCATTTCCTTTCATCACAGGCTGCTTGCTGGAAGATCAGCTCTCCTGTGTCTTGTATTAGTCGTTTGCTTTTACCCTCAAAGAAAGATAGTTCAGATTTTTTCCATATCTGCTCTGACCTTGTTGTGTTTATGGTTTTTGTGCTGGGTCTGTACAACATTTCCCTCTTTCTGGCTATGCCACATACTGTGTTTATATTTACAGTAGTTATCTAGCATTTAGCTGTAAGAGCGCTTTTCCCTAGTCCTTTCTGAGACCAGCATTAGCAAAGAAGTTTGTTACCTTACCTTTGGAAATTCCAGGCTCAAACTTTAATCTAATGTAGTTTACCTGAGTATGAACCTCACCTCAGACAGATCACCAATCTGTTTTTCACATGCGCTTTATGATAGAGGGGAGGAGTTTTGCCTACCATTGACCCAAAAGAATTCAATTGAACAAACCTGGAATTCATCTGCTTCGGCTCCTCCATAGGAAATGTAAGTCGGACTCCATTCACAGGGATCCTGCCCGAGTGTCTGTGCTCACTTTCTGTCGGATATAAAGTACGTACTGTAAAGATAACAGAGTGTGTCTGTGTATGCAGTTATGTCACTGCTGGGGAAAGTGTCCATATGTATATTTGGTGGATGTAGCGATGAGACCAGTAATACAGGAGATACTGATGGTTTGTTTACAATAGAAAGCTACTATTATTTTGATATGTCTGTTTGATCTCCTATTATGGAACACTCATAGCACTATAAAAGCACTTGATCTGCATGTACTCATTCTGGTAATAAAAATACCATAAAATCTTACTATGAATCATTTTATATGTATATAGCTTTGTTTATACCCAGCTTTTAAAAACACAACTACTTAAAAAAAAAACCCAAATGCACAAATGAGTCATATGATCATCAGTAAAATGTCTAAGTACCTATTACCGTTTATAAAGCATGGTCCTGGATTAAATGAATTATGGCAGGCATTTATGCTTTATTTGAGATTCTGGATTAAATCTCAAAGTGTCCAGAAAATTCCTTGCAGTATTAGCTCAATGCCAGATTCTCACCATTGTAGCTGAAAGGTTCTTACTCTTTCCTAGGAAGTTGAAGAAAGAATATCTTCTAGCTCAGTCTTTAGAACAAAAATCTCTTTTGAAGGCATCCTTGTTCCTCTGTAAGGAAATTAGACTTTTGTTAAGGACCTTTATTAAGTCTATTAAAATTGTAGGCAGGACAGCTTTAACCCAGAAGTGAACCAAGACCTCCTACACTCCACTGTAGTTGAGAAAGAAAACTTGGGCTCAACTGCCTTTCTTATTTCTCTTGTCAATGTGTTGCTCCTCTGTTTTTCGGATTAGAATGCCTGTTTGGGTGTTTCAGTGGAGGTTTTCTTGCTTTTGCTTTTATTTTTCCCTTCAGAGAGCTCTTCCCAGTTCTTGTCTTATCCATCGTTTCTGGCTTGTATATTCCATTAGCTATAGTGCTCTGTTTGGCGTTGTATCTTACTGCCACCTAACAAAGCACTGGCAGTTGTTTATATAGGAAATTGGGTAGTTCTTCCTAACACAATACTCAACAGGATTTCAAATGAGATTCAGGCTCTCCTATGGATATCAGAAGCAAGCCTGGTTGTAGTAGGTAACAAAAAAAAAAAAATCTTTCCTGTGTTAGGGCACTTAACTATTGTGGAAACTGACAGGGACTAGGGAGCAGAAGCTTTCTTTGAGGTGCCTACGCTATAATGTTGTGTGAAGATTCTTGCTCTCCTGAGAGGTCTAGTCCTGAGCCCCTGTTGAAGGCAAGATGCTAGAAGTGGTGTACTCAAAGATCTAACTCTTTCCAAAACCTGATTGATAAGTAGGATAAGTTAGCTCTTCTCCAACAAAATTAAAGCATGATGGATGCTATAGAGGCAGTTTTCGTTCTAAATCTGTCGTTACTCATCACATCTACAGTATTTAATAGCAAGTAGATGATCTCTTGGGAGGAGTAGTGTGGAAATTTGGGGAGAAGGGGGAAGGATCTGGTTACAATTTTGATGTAGATGTCCTGTCATCTACTACTGTGGGTTTTTGGGTTTTTTTTTTTTGTTCTCTCATGGATTACTTGAGAAAGTAAGTTATTTTCCCAATCTGTACTTTGTAACACACTGCAAAAGGGCCCTTGTGGTATCTTTTCTGAATAGGTGTTTTTTTTAAATATTTGCATGAAAAAAAAAGCGAAGCGAAAAAAATAGTTTAGTGTTTGTCTTCGAGATTCATCCTCATGTGAGATACTTTTTTTCATGCAGATTAGAAGTGATACATCAGAGATCCTGGACGAGACCATTCCGCTGATTAAAGACAAGGTGATGGAAATGAACCACATCTATGCCAAAGTTGATAAATTAGAGGTTTGTGCATTGCATTAGAAGATTTACATCCTTCTTTTAATGTGTTTTATAGGTTAACTGTCCAGTTATTTCTGTGAAGCACTCAGATGGTTATGGCTCTCTAATGTCTTATGTTTGTGTTTAAATCAGTATGTTTACTGATAGTTCAGCACATATAAGTGTTTATGGTTTTGGAACATCATTGAGTAATTTATTGCTGTGGATCCTATGATTCCTAATGGTAGATTAAAAGCATTAGTTGTGGTTTTGATGTTAATAATAATGCTAATAATTTCTTTTGTCACTTGAAAGAATAAATGGTTTCACCAATACAACTTCAAAAGTTCAAGTCTCACATCCAGTGCTGGACAAACCCATTTTAAGTTGTTGATGATCGTCTTATGTTGTAGTGGAGAATCTCTGAGGTCCCATCTTCTGTTGTGTCTGTTTTGGTGTTTATTGTATCCTGAATGAGGGAAGCCAGTATGACTCACTAAGATGATGCCCTCACCATATTTAGTAAGCAGTATGTTAAAATTTGTGTCAAATGAGGGCAAGTTTGCCTCTGGGGGGAATATAATGAAAACATGATGAGATAAATTGTGTAATGTTTAAAATCAGTTTTAACTGACTCAAAGTGAAAGAAACCAAGTGTTTGTGGCGTTAAATGCAGGTAAACAGTGCTTAAGCTTCAGGCTCTATCCCTGTACAAATATCCTCTGATAAGGTTTATTACGCTGGGAGGGACAGGGCAGTTTAGCTTTCAGGAAGTTTTCTTGAAGTGCAATTCATTTTTGTAGCTTGCATTTTTACACTTACTTTTGATAACAGACATACCAAACCACTTTATGTTTCATGGACTTACACAGCACCAGGAGAAAACTTCAGACAGGAAACTGAGGCAAGGCACTCTAGAACAAAAGTGGGAGTCAATCGTTAACCTGTTTAGAAACCTGTCTAGTTTTCAGAACTGAGTGTCCCCGTCCACAAAATAGCTAGCAGGTTCTCAGCATACTTGACAATTTGGCCATACTTGAATGTATACTAAGCGAGGACTGTGAAAAGGCTAACTGAATCAGGTTCCAAACCAACTGCTTCTGGAAGTGTCTCATCTATTTAGGTGTTTTTGCAAATTCCATGCTTATAAGTAGTTGGGATTTTGAGGGGACTGTAAGGGTGTTTTTGTCTTTGAACAGGAAAATAAAATTAAAACTCTAAGCAATTACTTGTGCTAAAACTACGGTAAGCAACACGGCTCCTTATCGCTTTTTTCCCCTCTAATACAGGGAAGGGGAAAAAAAAAACCCTTTCCTGACCCCATTCCCTTAGTACAGCTGTAAGGACATAGTAATTTGGAATATCAAGAAAATACCAGTCTTTGCTAGGCTACAGGTTGCGCCTGAATAATGCAGCAGAATTCTGTTGAGAGGCTTTTTTTTGGTTATCAAGGGAAGATAATACCTTGATTGGCTAGGAATCTGTTTTTCTCCCTAACATTACCAGCTGTAATGGCAGTAATCTGAGACCAGAAGATTAAATTGGCAATTTGAGCAGTAGTTAATATTTTAATTAGAACTTTTAAATTTAAAGCCTAGCATCCATGGGGATTTTCAAGGGAGAAGTTAACTTGTACTCCCAAGAGTAGAAAAGGAAAGGACTGCTGTGTAATGGTTCTACAGGATGAGAATCTGTTGGGTTTTAATTTTGATGTTGCCATTGGTATATTTTTGGCAATTAATTTACCTGTTCAGCCTCACCTTCCCAATCCCTAAATAGGCAGTGATGAATTTCTCAAAAAAAAAAAAGTGAAGCTTAATTGTTAATAGAAAGTATCAAAACTCTTTACAAACTGTTCTGTATTTTAACAAATAAACACTGTGTTCTTTCTAGTTGGCTTTCCCTTATGGCTCAAATTTCAACAGAAACTGATCACATGTATGTTTTAGGTTAATAATTCCTGACCTTTTTTAGCTAAAATCACCTGTCATTATCTTTTCCTCTGCTGTCTACTCCCTCCTACCACTTTGGCCACTTTATCCCTCCCACCAGTAGTAGCAGTCTCTTTTGTGGGTTCTGAAGAACTTTTCACCTCACTGCTGAAATGTTGCCAGACCTTTAGATGTCATGCAAATGCTTACACACTCTGTACACTGAAAAGGGAGCAAAAGTGTGCCCTTGGGTAAGGAGAAAAATTAGCCTTACATCGTGACCAGTGGTTCTTCTCACGGCTGTAAACATCTGTAGTCTGATGAGTATGTACCCCTTATATATTTATATTGGCAATAGTGTACTCTGAAACCTTGTTAAAGCTTTTTCTTTGACTTCTCGTCTCTAGCTAGGATAATGTTGAATCCCAGCACAGGTGCTTTTAATTTTCATTGGGTGTTTTCCCTCTCTCCATAGGCGTTTGTTAAAATGGTTGCACACCATGTTTCCTTCCTGGAAGAGCAAGTGCTTGAAGCAGAGAAGAGCCATGGCACCCTTCTTAATACTGTTTGCAAATTATTTCAGTGTGCAACTATCTCATTTAAAAACGTGAGTATTTGTAAAGTTGCTTCCAGCAGATGGGAAAGTGATGTTAAATAACCTTTCTGTATAAAATATGGCCTTACAGCAGATTTAATTATTAATTTTAAGTGGTGTAAAGGAACTAGCTATGGTCTGCTTCTGTAAAAGTGACATTTTTAGGTCTTTTAAAATTTTCAATAATTTTCTTTTTTTGTAAGAGATACTGCTTAAGCACTGAATAGTTACAGCAGTAACTTTTGAAGATCTCTATGTTTTGCTCCTGAATGAAAGGATTTTTCTCTGTATATGTATATGCAAATAGAAAGCTTGTTATACAGCATCTTGCAGTGAGAGACATAGGCATAGATTGTTCTTTCTATTCAGTCTTTGGTTTTATGTCAGTTATGTTGAAATTACTTTATAGGATCATCCATGGATGAGCACTAGGTGGGGGTGAGAACTCTGTCAGTGAGTTTTAGTGATACTTGCTGATAGGAGAAGAATGGTGAGAGTCAGGGATAATGAGATCTTACATGGGCTCGAGGAAGCTTATGTACTCTTCATGCTTTCTGTCCCTGTTCTTTTCCAAGAATGTCTTCATACCACTTATTTTACACTCCATTTTCCTTTTCTAAGCTCCCAGGTCATTCTCTAAATCTGTTGTTTCCCCAGCAATTCATCACAATCTCCAGTTAGCCTTTTCTGAACTCATCTCTTCCATTCCTCCCTCTCCATCTCGATGTGGTATCTACCATGTTTTCAGTCTTAGTATATCTCTACAGGATCCAGTAGCCTCAACTACTTCCCTGCTTTCTTTTGTCTCTTCTGTATTTCTGCCATTATGTTTCCCTCCTCATTTTCTTCCAAGGGGCTTCCATACCAGTATGCATAATACTGAGTGGGCAATAATACACAGGTGTTGGTGATCATGTAGGTATAGCTGAACCACTTCAAATTTTTGTCTGGCATCATAGCAAGCTCTGGAAGGTTCAGTTGCAGGAAAAGTCCCATTCAGTTTCTGCAGATCTAGGACAAATCTTAACTGCTTAAAGAGGAAATGAATATTCAGTCTGGTTAACAGAGGCTTGGACAGGAGATGGTACATACTGATTTCAGCTTCAGCTGTCAAACTCTAGTGGATCTTTAGAAGACCACAGTTTATACAGATTTAGTAAAGAGTTGTAACTTGGCCAAATTTGGTAATATTTTCACAGGAATGGGAAAATATGTCCCTGATATGAGGGTAGTTTAATGCCAATTTAAAATCTCTGCTGTAGCTTATGAAGGCATTGGAGCTTTTCAAAAGACTGAAACAACACATACTTCTCCTTAATTTCATATTCTGAATTGGCTTGATTTTGTTCCCTAAAACTTTCCAAACATGTTAAACCTGCAGCAGAGACCCAGTCTGGAAAATATGTCAAAGCTGGAAGTTCTGAAAGGTTAGTCCGTCTATAGAAATAATGTGGTATAACTGGAACGCCAATGAGAATGTGTTGAAGGCCAGACTATTTACTCAGAAGCTGGCTTGGCTTGGCTTGGACTTGAAGACAGTATAGCATTTTCAATATTTTTTTCCTTATAATTACAAAGAAAAATTTTGAAATATTCAGTAATTGTGTATTCATGCTTGCAGGCATCTTGGAATGATAATATTAGTGAACAAAAGAGAAAAAGAAATAGAGACTGGTGTAGCTTCCTACTGTACTAATTTTATACCTCCCTCCCATCCTTTCCCCCCAAAATAGTCCAACTAGAAAGCATGGTGAGACAGGTAATGAGGATGAGCACAAATAAGGAAAAGTTCTCTCACAGAAATTTCTAAACTGATGAAGACTCAGCCTGAAGGAGGACAGGATAGAGATTTTTGAAGTCATTCTGTATGTGGAGCAGGTGACTAGAGAGTGCTTACTCCCTGTAATTCAAGAACTAGGGTCATCTGATGAAATTGTCAGCAGGCAGGTTCACAATACAAAAAGGGAGGTACTTACTTTACATGATGTATTAACATGCCATGGAACTTATGTCCACGGGATACTATATATTGCCAAAGCAATCAGACAGATTCTTAGGGGAGGGAGGGATCAAACAATGGATATTAAACAAAATACCTGTTCTTCAGCCACAGATTCTTGAAGACTGGGAAATAAGTTTGTATATTTACCCTGTAAACCTTTCTCTAGGTAATTCCTTCAACTGGTCACCACTTAAAAGTGATTATTTGGCTGCATGGACCTTTGAATGATGCAGTACAGCTGCTTGTTAATAACGTTTACATTGTAGTTCTCACTGTAAATTGTGGCTCTGAATGACAATGCTCTGTGTTGATAAGGAATTATTCACTTCTAGTAGAAGTGTGCAGGAAAGGACTGAACTGTTTAAGGACATCCGTGGAGTTTGAATTTCTACAGCAACTTTCCTTTTGGCTTGACTGTTGCCTGAAACCTAGTAGGATCCCTGCCAGCTATCCAAGTTTCTGTGCTTTCTCCAAACTTGTTTGTTTCTAGTTGTCCATCTCTTTTCCCCTGTTATGTAGGATATCGTTGCAGAGATGCCCCGTTGGCATCTTTTGCCATTTGAAAATTAGGACTGTCCTGACCATTTTTGTAGATGAGTTTAACTTTTTCTGAAATGATAGTTTCCAAATTGTGTATCTTCTCTCCATAGACTTGATCAGACTGGGTAAAAGAGTTTGAGGGTGCCCTTCTCTCTGAGTGTCTGTACATATATGTATTTCAGCTAAGTTTTTTCCTCTTCTAATTAAACATGGATACTATTTTAAATGCAAGGGAAATCTCATTCTCGGTATTTTGCAATTATATTTCAAGGTGCAGCAAAATCCTGTAATGTTTGTGAGTTTTATCTTTCTCTGTGTTTTTTGGGTATTCAGAAAGTTGTTTCATGTAGACTTCCAGTGCACAGTAGCACTGGGAAAGGTGTTTAATCTGTGGGAGAAAAGTGAGTAATCAAAATTCAGTCTTTGTGTTAGGAATATCCAGAGGTGGTCTGAAAAGAAATGACCTTATACTAAATATAAATTACAAATATGACTGAGTAAGTCTGACAGGTTATAAGAATATAACACCTCCTGAGGGAACAGAACAGAGGAAATAACTTTCTCTTGTGAAGTTTGTGGCTCTGTGGAAGAAAAGCATTTCTTCTGTAAAGCTTGAACTTTGTATGGGAGAAACTGTGGTTTCAAATCTTTCATCCAAAGATGTTATCTATGCCCTGGCTGAATGGGGTTCAGCAATCTTAGAGAAAGGACAGGAAATCTATTTTAGAAAACTTCAGCATGTGGAGTTTGAAAAAACTACTAGTATCTCTTCCAATGGAAGAAAAGTGAATGTCAGCAACTCTTGCTGTTTTGTCATGCATCTTGCAATATCTGGCATTTTCTTAAAGTCAGAAATTTTCTTGCAATGTCACTGGCTGAGAATCTTGTTAAATATTTATTTTTAGACTAATTATTAACCCTCATATAGTTGCAGAGAAAGGTTTATAAAATCATAACCTCCAAAAAAATCTCATGCCGACAGTATGAAGAAAAAATGCACATTTGTTAGATATTTTTTTTTTGTGGCTTTTTATTTTCTTTTTCTTTCTACTAGTATTGTAATCTCTAGAACAGCAGCTGCTTATCTGAGGTGGGGTTTGCTGTCTTGTCTTGGCTAAGGTGCTGGCTAATGATTTTTCGTGACAGCTGGGCTAGATTCTGACAAACTGAACTGGGGAATTGATAATGGGATATGAAGCATTCTGTGTGTTACTTTATTAGTTCATCTGAGCTCAGTAATGAGCAAAAGTTATTGAGGAGTTGTACTGACTAAAGTATCTAGGAGAGAGACCTGTACTTAACAGTTCTTTTCAGTGGTTGCCTGTGTAAAGTGTGGAAGTTGACATAGACTTCTGGATGCAGTCTCCATAGATTAATAGTAGATTCATCCTCTGAGAGAAGAAAGCTCAGAAGAGCTAAGGAGCTATGCAGAGTTAAGGTTTTGCTTGATGTAGAAGACAGCTAGCTGGGTTTGAATTTTCATAAATTAATCTTAACAAAAATAAATCATTGGAATAAGAAAACTTTCGTATATTGAGACTTGGCATTTTTTAAACTTTTTGTAACTTGATGTAGGTTTCAGCTTTACTATTTGCTTTATATTACCGATTTCTCTTCTTGAAGACTCCAAAGAAGCACATATTGGCATTTCTGTTACTGTCTTTGCCACTGACAATGTGTGATCACATATATGTCATGCTACTTCTTTGTGCCCTAATTTACCTCACAAGATAATGTTTAGTGTTTCCAAAATGCTATGAGATTTTTCTGACAGCCTTGAAGAAAAATATTTGTTAAATTATTACTAAAACATACCAGATGGGAAAGGTGAGAAGAGAGAAAATAAAGCAGAGTGTTTAAGAACTGGGGGTATACTATGTTCATATTTAAAATTCATTAATTTTTGAGTGCTGAATGCTACCAGCCATTTTTTTTATACTGGGGAAAATAAAAAAAATTGACTTGTAATTAAATATTTAATGTTAGGAACTTTGGGGCCAAGTTCAGCTTATTTTACTTGCAGCTATGCTTGAAGTTCATCCAGTTCCATTCTGATTTGGACGGATTCGTTAACTGGTTTGGGAGCCCCAGAGAGGTCACACTCATTCTATGTTGAGAAAGGTAACACTTAGAAATGAGAAGATTCAAGTGAGGGGATGCAGTAGGCCCAGAAGTCAAGATTTCAGCTACCGATGGATTTAGCCCTCATTCACCTCCTTCTTTGAGGGAGCCTGCACAATTCTCGAAGTGAAGCCAGAGTTTCTTCCCAGTTTGCTAAGCCTGGCATATAGTGGAAGAGCTTGAGCGAGGCTGCAAGGCTGTGCTTGGACATCAAGCAGTGCCACTCATTTGGAGGAGTAGATGAGAGCGCTTGGGGCTTGAACACCGCACACAGGAGTAGAAATACACACATGCACACACCCGTGTATTGAGAACATTAGGAAGGCTGGGGAGAAGTGAGAGTTTGGGCTGGTGGGATCCAGCAGGCGCACCTACAACATTGTTGATAATAACAGTATGC